TGCAAATCCGCTGGGGATTTAAATACCCCCCGCGGCATTTGCATTTACATGGCTGCCGCTTTTTTCCGGCTCGGGGGTTTTTGCCGGAGAAAAGCGCCAGTCTAGATGTGATTCTCCGGAAAATAAGCCCTTTTCCGGAAGATCCCTTATTCTGGAAGATCCCTTGAAAGTAGGAATAAGGGATCCTCCGGAAAAGGGCTTATTTTCCGGAGAATCGCGTCTAGACTGGCGCTTTTCTCCGGCAAAAACCCCGAGCCGGAAAAAAGCGGCAGCCATGTAAATGCAAATGCCGCGGGGGATATTTAAATCCCCCACGGATTTGCAATTCCGAAGTGTCTCATTAGCATCCCTTTTCCGGAAAGGGATGCCAATGTAGACACAGCCATGTTGGAAAAAGATTTAGGTGTTGTGATTGATAATCAATTGAAGGTGAACTTCCAGCAGGACGCCGTGGCCAAAAGAGCCAATTGTTTCCTCACATGCAAAATGGGGGTATCTTGAGTAGGAAGATTATTTGCTTCTAGTGTGATCACTGTTGGAAAACTGTGACCAGCTCCGGTACCCACAATTCAAGAAGGATGTTGATTATTTGGAAAGAGTTCAGAGAAAAGCTGTGAAAACTATTAAAAGATTAGAAAACCTGCCTTACAGTGACACACACACAATCAGTTGGATCTATTTAGTTTTACAAAGAAAAGGCTAAGGGCTGACTTGATAAACTTATAAGTAGCTATGTGTGGAGCAGATAATGAATGAAGGATTCTTCAATTTAACAGAAAAAGGTGTAATATAACCCAATAGCTAGAAGTTGAAGCTTGTCAGTCAGACTAGAAATAAGGCATACATTTTTAATGATAAGAGTACTTAATCATCATTGGACCCAATTTACCAAAGGTTGTGGTGGCTTCTCCATTTCTAAAAGTTCTGCTCTAAAAATTGTTTTGGGCAAGTTCTGTGTGGTGGGTTTTACAGGAGATGAGCTTAGATGATCGCTGTAGTCCTTTCTGGCCTTACAATCTATGAAATTATTGGAAAATTAATGAAATTAAAGCATTTTGGTTTTTCAGGATGTTCCTTTCCTATTCTAGGGTCTAATTCTGCTTTCTTGATGTGTGCAAAAGTCCATGGCAACCATTTCTGTAAGGACTTTAGTAATTACAGTGGCTCAGATTTAGCTCAGTGACTCTCACAACCTTTCCAGATGACTGTAGTCCTTTCAGGAGTCTGATTTGTTTTACTCCACATTTTACCTCTTTTAAAAACTCATAAAATCAAACATAAAAATACAAAGGTTTCACATATAGGGATGTGAAAGTATAACTGTATACACAGTTAATTGATGAGCCTGGGCTCATTGGTTAATCTTCGTGATTACACGCAGACTCCCTGTACTTGTGGGGAGCTGGCTTAAAAGACGGTTCCCCCCTCTACTGCATGGCTGCGTCTTAACTGGCCAGTTTTTCCGGAAAATCAGCCGCTTTTCCGGAAAAACTTGCCAGCTGTCTACACTGGCCGCTTGAATTTCCACAAAAGCACTGACTTCCTACTGTAAGAAATCAGTGCTTTTTGCGGAAATTCTATGCTGCTCCCATTCAGGCAAAAGTACCTTTTGCGCAAAAGGGCCAGTGTAGACAGCTGAGATTTGTTTTGTGCAAAAAAGCCCCAATAGCGAAAATGGCGATCGGGGATTTTTTGCGCAAAAGCGCGTCTAGATTGGCCGCGGACGCTTTTCTGCAAAAAGTGCTTTTGCGGAAAAGCGTCCGTGCCAATCTATACACTCTGTTCCAAAAATGCTTTTAACGGAAAACTTTTCTGTTAAAAGCATTTCCGGAAAATCATGCCAGTCTAGACGTAGCCATCATGTGTAACTGCTGACATTTTCAGTGGTTACATGGTTACTTAAACACATTTTAACATCCCTAGTCACATCACGCTATTACTGAAAAAATGCTGACTTTCTCATTTTTACCATATAATTATAAAATAAATCAGTTGGAATATAAAATATTGCACTTCCATTTCAGTGTGTAGTGTATAGAACAGTATAAACAAATCATCTATTACATTTTATTTGTACTGTGTTCAGAGTGCTTTTTATGTAGCCTATTGCAAAACTAGGCAAATACCTGAATGAGTTGATCTTCCATCTGGAAGATCTTTGTGTACCCCTAGAGGTGCATTTACCCCTCATTGAGAACCACTGATTTAATTGGTCAAGCATCACTTTAACTGAGTGATATTTCTTTTTACAGTTGATAATAACAAACAGGAAGTATTCCAGAGGAAGAAGAATGCTGTCTTGGTGAATGGTGTCATTCTGAATGGCCCGATAACAGATTCCAAAGCAGGAGAGAAATTTGTTGAAGAGGCATGTAAGATAATAATGGAAGAGGTTGTACAGAAAGCTGCTGATGTAACAGAGAAGGTAAAGCCTTGGAATTGGTTTGAAAATATACTGGAATAAATATGAGTGATTAAAAACTTCAGCTTTCCAAGAAATCTGAGTTTTATTGAACATAAATGGCATTGAACTTGCTGTGAGTGTGTGAGTAGGCTTTGAAATAAAATATTGCAGTCTGGATTTAGAAATATGGCATCATGTAACTTTTTAATAGCATGATGCACATTTGCAAGAAAATGTTCCCTATTTTACTTTTGAAATGCTAAAATGTTTTTGTCCTGGAACCAAATTTACCCTTGAGTTTGCTGAGCCTGTAGGAGCATCTGAGGAAGGGTGGCTATGTTACCACTGAAGGAGCGCAGCATTACAGACTGATCTGGGTTCCATAGTGCCCTTATTTGCTGAGGCTATTTGAGAGAGGTGCTAGACAGGTAGGCCTTGCCCATTTGTGGGCTGCATGAGCCAGCTTTATATTCCTGGCACAGCAGGACTTGACAGTGGGATTGCAGAAGTGCAGCAGAGGACAGAATTTGGCTTGTAGATTTATTACACCTAATAAAGATTATACAAACCAGGAGCAACTCATCTTGATTTCCAGATACCAGGTTGAGTTTGCATCTCTGACAGTTTTAAAAATAATGGTTTTGCTTTTAAGCAGAACAAGTTTGAGCAGGAAGTCCCTGAGACTCAATAAAGATAGGATCCCATGAGGCCATTGTTACAGTCAGTCTTCAGCGTAGTGTACTTTTAAGTGCGGTTTTCTTTGGAGGTCATTACCGAATCCATTGTGGAGTGAGGTTTTATTGCCATAACATTTGTCTTCACCTCAGCCATCATGTATTCATTGCTGGCATTTTCCTTATCACTAGGTTTGTGAATGGCAGCCCCCTGAAAAACTGAAAAAACTTCTCGATCTGGAAATGAGGGATACCGGAGAGCCCCATCAGAAACTCTTGCAACTTTGCCAGGACATTATACGATACAGCGTCAAAACTAGTAGGAATTTGAGTTCTAATTGTGTTACCTTATTATCCCCCAAACTCTGAAGTCAGGGTATTTTCTCCTAAGTTCTGTTGCCCTTCAGGAAATAAGGTGATGTTTTGCTATGTCAACATTTTCTACCTGCCTGTAACCATATGAAAGCAGATGAATGCTTTCATTGGCTGTTCTGTAGCTGTTCGAGTAAATGCTGGCATAAGTAATTCTTCTCTCCTTCATATCTAGTCCTTATTGTAAAATGAGAGTATCATACCTGCCAAGCCACCTGGATCCTCACAGTGATCAGATGGATTTCTGAGGGGAACTAAAATCTGTATGATGACATTAAAAAATCCTGCGAGGGATTACCATTGATGTTAATGGGAGACTCTGCTATTCTAAAGTCTCTTGAAAGACACCTTTGGCCTCTAGACAGGTATGGAATATGATATAACAATTTACCAAATCAGGCAGGAGAAAGATCTTTATGAATCCCCAAGGCCTTTGCATAGGACTTCCTGCTGTCTGATTGGTGAGTAGTGATGTCATAGTCACTGCCATCTGATGCAAATAAGGCAAGGTAAAGTCAGCCTGTGGGTAAATAATTGCATTGCATTTTCTGTTACCATATAGCAAACAGTCTGTTTGCAAAAGAGAATCAAAATCTTAATGCATGCTTTAAATCACTTTTTTAAATGTAAGCAGGTTGACTGAGGTATATACTGGCTTTTTCACAAGTGGATACAAATTTAACCTGGAGTATAATTCTGATATGTGCTGAGTAACTCCTGGTATAATGTTGATCAGTCATAATTCCTGCTCAAGATAATGGGAGATAGTGCTCAGCATCTCAGAAAAGGCACCCAGTACCTTGCAAGATTGGCCCCGTGCAGGTAACCTTGATGAAAAGCATTTTATATAACCAAAAATCAACAGAAAGAAATGAGTAATGTCTGTTTAGGAAATAGGGTGGTGTATCAAAAGCATCATTAGAATTTCAGAAGCACAGCTATATATCCTATACTCAAAGTGTATTTCAGAAGGTGTGAAGGACATTTGATATAATTTACTGGGTATGCTTCCTGCTAAAGAGGCTGTTGCCACAGAATAAAACAAAAAATAATTAATAGGAGTGAGCATATGTTTTTGAAGAACACAGAAATTAGCAGTGCTTATCTGAAGAGTCTCATGCAATATTAATATGCAGATGTCATTACAATGTCATTGGAATATACTGTATTATCTTCATTTTGTAATTTTTCTTTACATTTTCATTTGTTGCACTATGCCACCTTAAAAAAGAAATTCAGTACAAAAGCCAGATGCACAAATAATATTAACCTAACTATAAAAGCTAGCAAAAGCTTCAGATTTGAGGCTGTCATGAATTCACTCTGTCATAATAACTATAGAGTTACAATGTGGTGAACTATAATCCAGATGGTAGCCTGGACCCTGAATTGAGTTGCTTTTATTATCAGAATTTTTAGATTACTTTTACATAATTTCTCATTATTGTTATTTATTTAATATTTCAGCACCCCGATATGGTGCCACTTAAATTAAGGTAATAAGGTAAAAGATCGTTTATCTTTTATTCTCTATATCTCAGAAATTCTGGTAAAAGAAAGAAACACGATTTTAAAAAGAGATATTTAGAAAAATGTTTCAAGAGAGGTTGGTTGGCTCATTAAAGCAATGAAATAGGGAAATTTAAAAAAATAAAAAAGTCCCCTCAGGTTGGCAGGGAGTGATATGAAAGAAGAACACAGATAGGGAAGATGGAAAATTATCTATAATATTATTCCATTTGTGTCCAAATCCTGTTGTTAGTCCAACTAACCCATATAGTTTCACTGCAGTGTGAGAAATGACCAAGAATTGAAAAAAATAGGCCAGTCATAGCTGAGATAGGCCAGTCATAGCTGAAGTAAAGTTAAGTGCAGGGTCAAAATGGAAAGTGAAATTTAGGAAGCCAAAGACAGAATGCAGAGTGAAGTTGCCCTCAAATCCTGCCTCACAAGATGAGGCTGTATATGTAAATTCTGAAATTGGTCAGAAAATGGTGGTACTTTTCAGCAGAAAATATGAATGAAAATGAGAAAAATTGTATTTGTTGATATTTTCATTGGATTTTTTTTTGTGGATCAAAACTAAATTTGAACATTTCTTTGGTTTTCAACAAAAAGCTTTCACTTTTCCAGTACAAACATTAAAAATGTTTGAAGGAAAAAATAGTACTTTCTATGAAAGCTTTTGTTTAAACTAACCAAGTTTTCCTTCAAAAGTTTCAGCAGAAAGTTTTCCAAGCAACCTTAATACATTCACTTCCATGTAGAAGGCCAGCATGAGGCATAGATACTATTTAAGTCCCAGTTACTCCTTCTTTTAACACAGTTGTGAAATTTACCCTTTGTGAAAACTTGGCCAATCTGAGGAAAGAAGAGAGTCACATGGATAATAAAGAAAAATGCTGCTGTTTGTCCATGTAGTATGTTTTAATCTATATACATACGTACAGTAGAGATGATGTTATGTTTATTTTCACTTGTTATGTATATTGGAATACTTATGTTTCATTTTTAAATCTGCAGATCATCCAAGATTTTTCAACCAATTGTACGCTGGTATTGATTATTACTCTTTAGTGGCTCGTTTCATTACAGAAGCATTAAACCCAAGTGTGTAAGTGTACCTCTTTTGCACTCAGTGAAATGACCCTGGACCCCTATTTCAACATTCCCAAAATTATGAATACCCACTTCAGGTTTCTGTTTACATTTAACACAGAGGACATCTAGCAGGAACTTGGGGGATAATAACAGAGTTTGTTTCTGCATCACATAAACATATACTTCGCTAAGATTATGGAGCCTGTTTCAGTATGAGAGTTTTAATTTGGGAGTAAAGATCCCCCACTGAAGGGTCTTTTCTTTGATATTCGCTTTATCTGGAAATTTGTTTTTTTAGGGACTTAGATATGCTATTTAGATAAATTCAAGGTACCTTCACTGCTGGTGTTTGTGATTTATGCAATTATAATGGCAATTTGAAAATTTGCTGTGTGTTCAAGGTGCAGCAAGGACAAATGTTAATATTGGTTATTGTTTTTGATGTGTTTGGCATGAAATGCTACAGTGGTCCACTTTTATTTCATCCCAACATTATTTGTCCTTAAATAAACTTTTTCCCATTTTGGGACTAGATCAATTTTAAAACACCAAACTTAGGACTGATGTTAGCTCAACTGTTGTAAGCATGCTCAGTGGCACAGCCACCGTTAGTATTTGCTCCACATAATATTAAGTATGGGCACCACAATGAATTTGCACAAATGTTGTAGATGTATATATGCAAGCAATAAGGAGAAGTTGGAACTGAAGTCTAGGGTCCAAGAACGATTGCTTCAGATGGGAGAATCTTCAGTATTATTTTTGCCAAACCATAGAAGCCACAAGAGGTCCTCCACAGTTCAGCACCCACAAAAATCTGTCTAGTTACATTCATAAGTGTTAAATTTTCCATAAACATTTTCAACCTGAGTAACTTTTGTTTTTGATGAAGAGAACAGTACAATAAAAAAGCACAAAAGTAAAGCTATCACGAGAGAGCACAGTGTATGCATCTCCTCTGAAATGGTCTGCATTGAACTGAACACAAATGGCTTCTCGATTGGGCAGGAAAATGTATTAGATGTAGGAAACAAAAACACAACTTACATATAATGGGTACATTTTCCCAGTAGTGTACGGTTTAGGCGTTCGCTTAATACGAGTCACATAACTCAAATCCTTATGCATTACTTTGAAACTGTAAAGGTTGGTGTTATGATGCTGTTAGGAATAGAGTAAATGGCCATACTGGATTAGCCCATTGGTATATTGAAATTCAGCCCCAGATGCTTCAGAGGAAACTGCATAGTAGATTGAAGTGGGCTAAACTGCCATCGAGGGAAGACTTTCCTAACCCCTAATAGCTGGAAATTGGTTTAAATTCTGTAGAAGGATATTTTCTCTCTCCCCCTGGCCCCAAAAAAACTTTTTTATCATTAATATTATAAACTTTGGATATTCTTGTTAACCATCTTAATCTCCAGTCTCTCTTTCAATCTTGCTAAATTCTTACTCTCTATGACATCCTGTTGTCATGAGTTCTGTAGTCTATCACCAATCATGATACTTTTATATTTATTTAGATATACATATGAGGTGTCCCCCGTGTTTTTGTTAGTGGAAGAAGCCGTCCTGAAGAGAATGATTGAGTTCATAGGTTGGAAAGAAGGTGATGGCATATTTAATCCAGGTAAGGATGAGGGCTGTCCAACTTTTGAATTTCAAGCTAACCTATAGAAAATGCAGAGAGATACAGATTTAGGAATTTTGTGATTGTTTAATTTGTATAGTGTACTCAAAAAAGCATACAAAATCAAATTATGCAAGGATTTTTGGCTTTAATAAAGTTGTTTTACCCAGGCTGCTATTTAAAATAATAATAAATATTTTATGAATCTGTGCAATCGCATTAAACAAGAACAACTGTATGGTTCAATTTAAAAACTTACGTGGAACGAATTCTAGAGCCCCTGAAACTGGAGCCCACCTCGTTCTCATTAATATCAATAGCAAGCTCTTCTTCAGTGACCTGAGTGGGCAGTAAGCTCAGGCTCCAGTTCTAGAACAGCATGAACAAGATTGGGCCATTTAAAGTGATCATAATTTCAGTGGCCTACAAGTGCTTTACCAAATATATTTTGCAGGAAATCTCCATGCAGTGCATTCACAGCTATTATGTAGTTTACATAGAGGTCTGCACTGAGATGTGGGGTGACGTTGTACAGCTTCAGAGAGCGATTGCACTTCTGGAGCATGTAGCAGGGGTGCATACACTGCATTGTCCTGCCATGTTCCCTGCCTAACTGCTAGCCAGCTCCAGTGATTAGTAAGAAGGGGACAGTAGGGTTGCCAACCATGTTGGTTTCACCGGGAGTTTTCTGGATTTGGGTTAGATCTCCTGAAGGCTACTGAAGCCAGTCTAAGGGAATTTAGCTTGCTAACAGTCCAGAGGTGGGCTGAGGCAGACTCTTTGCCTGCCTTGGTCCCACACTGCTCCTAAAAATGTCCAGCATGTTCCTGCAGTGGCTATGGGATGGGGGATGGAAGGGGAGGTTTTTGTGCACTTGCCCTTGCCCCAAGTGCTGACTCTACAGTGTCTATTGGCTGGGAACTACAGCCAATGGCAGCTGTGAGGGCGGTGCCCACAAGCAGGGCCAGCGCACAAAGCTACTTGGCCCCTTTGCATAAGAGTTGCTTCCAGAGGAATGTGCTAGTCACTTTTGGGAGCTGCCCAAGGTAAGCACCTCCTGGCTGGATCTTGAACCCCAACCCTCTGTCCCAGCCCTAAGTCTGTACACAAACTTCCTCCCAGAGGCCCCACCTCTTCCCACATCCCAACCACCCATTCCAGTTCAGAGCTTGCACCCAAACTCCCCCCTGAGAGCCCACATCCCTCACTCCTCACACACATACATCCTCCTAGATGCCACACCCGCACCTAATTCTGCTCCCCAACTCCCTGCCCCAGTCCAGAGCTTGTACCTGCACTCAAACTCCTTCCCAGAGCTGTGTGCCCCTCCCACACTCTAACACTCTCTTAGAGCCCTCATCTCTCTCCTGCACCCCAACCTCCTGCCCCAGTGTGGTAAAAGTGAGTGAGGGTTGGGGAAACTGAGCAACAGAGGGCTGGAGGGAGGGGGGTGGAGTGAGCATGGGGCAAGGCTTCAGAGAAGGGGTATGGCAGGGGCATGGCCTACGGCAGGGGTGGCCAACCCGCTGCTCGTGAGCTGCATGTGGCTCTTCAAAGAAAAAATGTGCGGCTCCCACACTCGCGGCTCTTAAAGGGGCAGCATGTTTCTCTCTGAAAGAGACTGACCTGGAGTCACGGCGTCCCATGCAGACTTCAAAATGGCCACTTTTAAAGGGCAATGCCTGCTCTGCTCTTAAAAGGACAAACTGTGGGGGTTTTTTTTTTTCTGAACAACTTTTTTCCTCGGCTCTTTGCGCTGTATCCACCACTATTTTGGCTCTTTGTCTCTAATGGGTTGGCCATCCCTGGCCTAGGGGCAGGGCAAGGGTTTTTGTATTTGTGTGGTTAGACAGTTGGCAATCAGCCTTTGATTTAGCTGCCAATCCCTAGTATAGGGCGTGTTGTTGTGCCTGTGCCTTGTGCAAGATGCCTGACCCATGCACCCACATAAGAGTCCGATGCAATGCACCCCTGTATTTTACATAGAATCATAGAATCATAGGACTGGAAGGGACCTCGAGAGGTCATCGAGTCCAGCCCCCTGCCCTCAAGGCAGGATCAAGATCCGTCTACACCATCCCTGACAGATGTCTATCTAACCTGTTCTTAAATATCTCCAGAGAGGGAGATTCCACCACCTCCCTTGGCAATTTATTCCAATATTTGACCACCCTGACAGTTAGGAATTTTTTCCTAATGTCCAATCTAAACCTCCCCTGCTGCACTTTAAGCCCATTACTCCTTGTCCTGTCCTCAGAAACCAAGAGGAACAAATTTTCTCCTTCCTCCTTGTGACACCCTTTTAGATATTTGAAAGCCGCTATCATGTCCCCCCTTAATCTTCTTTTTTCCAAACTAAACAAGCCCAGTTCATGAAGCCTGGCTTCATAGGTCATGTTCTCTAAACCTTTAATCATTCTTGTCGCTCTTCTCTGTACCCTTTCCAATTTCTCCACATCTTTCTTGAAATGTGGCGCCCAGAACTGGACACAGTACTCCAGCTGAGGCCTAACTAGTGCAGAGTAGAGCGGCAGAATGACTTCACGAGTTTTGCTTACAACACACCTGTTAATACAACCTAGAATCATATTTGCTTTTTTTGCAACAGCATCACACTGTTGACTCATATTCAACTTGTGGTCCACTATGACCCCTAGATCCCTTTCCGCCATGCTCCTTCCTAGACAGTCGCTTCCCATCTTGTATGTATGGAACTGATTGTTCCTTCCTAAGTGGAGCACTTTGCATTTCTCTCTATTAAACCTCATCCTGTTTACCTCCGACCATTTCTCTAACTTGCTAAGGTCATTCTGAATTATGTCCCTATCCTCCAAAGAAGTCGCAACCCCACCCAGTTTGGTATCATCTGCAAACTTAATAAGCGTACTCTCTATCCCAATATCTACATCATTGATGAAGATATTGAACAGTACGGGTCCCAAAACAGACCCTTGAGGAACTCCACTTGTTATCCCTTTCCAGCAGGATTTAGAACCGTTAACAACCACTCTCTGACTACGGTTATCCAGCCAATTATGCACCCACCTTATCGTGGCCCTATCTAAGTTACATCCTTATGTCAGTGTGTATTGTTACCCTCCCTCGCCCTCTGTCGCTTGCTCTAACTCACCCTCACTCACTTTCACCACTTGTGCTCAGCTATTATGTTTCCTGAAGGCCAATCTTGGTTTCTTTTCTCTTCTGCCAACATCTTTGTAACTATCTGCATGGAAGCCAGTCAGTGGTGTGAAAGGTACACCTATGTGTGCACTTCTTACGTTTTGGGTGTCAATATTTATCTTAGAACTGGGGTGAGCAAACTTCTTTTGGTGTGCTACTGTCTTGATATGAGTTGGTAAAGCATGAAATATTTCTGGATTAATTGTTTTAAAACCTACATTTTAATATATTTTAAACAAGTAGCATTATATTGTCAATCTATGTCAGCTACAGGTGTATGGGGAGAAAGGAATGCAACGGTGTATCCCCAAAGTCTTCCTATACGGAATTATTAGTGACAAGAAAGCAAGCAATGAAATTGTCCAACCTGCTTCTTGAGTAAGAGAAGCAAATTTTAAAATTAGTGGAAGGGATGAGGAATAATTAATCTATCTCACTAATAAGTGGTAGAAACGTAAATTAACCATAATTATAGACATTGGAAATATATGTCTTAGAGTCTGTGCATATGTTTGGAAAGACACTGGCATATTCTGTAGCGTGTTACAGCAAATTTACTCAAAACCTTATGAAAACACCAAAAGATTCTTTAGTAAATGAATTGCATCTTTCTTTTCCAGCTTTCATAAAACTGAATTTAATTGCATAAGCCAATCTTATAAAAATCCTCTCTATCTCCTTGAGATCTTTCATTTCCCTTCCAGATCTTCTCCCAAAGATCTTCTATTCCTTCCAGTTTTTCCTAATTGGCTCTTTCCTCCCTAAGTGGTTTGAGACCTGGTTGCCTGAGGGACCATCTCTCTCTCCATGGTGTATTGCCACAATTGAGATAATTGGAGGCGCTGGACTTGGAGCTCCCACAATGCATACAAGAAGGAATTGCTGGTAGGGCATCCTCTATGAGGACTTCTTGGTTTCAGTGATCATTCCCTTGTCATTTGGTCCACTACAGCCCAAATCTGTTAATCTTCCAAGCAGGCAGGAAAGCCTCCTTTTCTTCTCTCATCTTTCAAGTGGTTGACAAAGTGTATGCCAAGAGTTACTTGTTTTTTCCAAAGACTAAAATATAATAAATGAATGCGTGTGTTTTGTTTTTACAGGAGGCTCTGTTTCTAATATGTATGCTATGAACTTAGCTAGGTATAAGTATTGTCCTGAGATAAAGGAAAAGGGGCTTTCAGGATTGCCAAGACTGGTTCTTTTTGCATCAGAAGAGGTAAATAAATTGCACCCATTGTCATTATAGATTTAAAAATAATGAACATTTTTTCTTCTGCATATGCACTGTTTGATTGTGTGACTAATGCTGTTCCAAGCATAATCAAATGATTGTCAATATACGGTGTGAAACATGGGTGGGTGTAGATGGCTGGTGGTGAATTCCCCCAGCTCAGAAAAATGCTCCATGAGTGGAAAATAATGGGAATGGATTTGTTACTTCTTGCCAAACTCTGTTGGAAGAAGGAAAAGTTGTGTCAGGGTCAGGAAGGGGAAAGGTTGTGGTGAAACAGAGCTTGGCTATGCCTCATTTCCCACTTTAATAAGATGTAGCAGGAACATCCTTCATTAATGTTACTTAAAACTGCTTTCTTGAAGCTTGAGCTTACATTGGGACCAGGCAATCAACTGGCTCCCTGCAGCCCCCCTTCTCCACTGGCTCTGAACACATCTTGCATGTGGTGGACCATCAAACCCAGCAAAAAGTATCCTGGCATAATCCTTTACCAAAGCTCTTTTAAAAAAAACACACCTGCTAAAAGCCTCTAAAATCTAAAAGAATCTAAAAATGTCTTCTATTTTTAAAGCTTTCAAACACAGCATATGCAAAACTCAGGTGAGAGACTGGAGTAGGAGGGATGCCTACTGGCACTAATCCTCCTTCAGGACTTCAGCTTTTAATTAGAGCCTCTTTTCTCCCACCTACATCTCTGCCCCTGGCGCTTTGGCACATTCACAACCCTTTAAAGAAACTAGGTTGAGTATTGTTGTATTTGAGATTAGATTGGTGCAGGTGGTATAATAATAATAGTAATAATAATAATAATTTATTATTAATAATAACTTCTGTTACAATAGTAGCTAGAAGCCCCAGTGGAGATCTATGCCCCATTTTGCTTGGAAACACACACAAATATAGTAATACTACATGCCCTTCCCTTAAGTGCTTACAACCGACAATCTTAGTGGACAAAGCAGTTTTTCAGATGAGAACTTGGACTCAGGAAGATGCCATGGCTTGCCCAAGATAAAATAAAAATTGTGTGGTAGTGCCAGGGACTGAACTCACCTGTCTGGAAACCCAGTTTAATGACCATCCTTCCTTTCTCTCTGGGGTCTGATGTACACAGTACTTCTGCCTGTGCCTCTAGCATTTGTTAAATTAACTAAAGATATTATAATTAACGTTGTACAGAAGTGCTAGAACTTTTACCAATTTAGGAAGAAAGAGACAGAACTTTTCATAAACAAGAAAATATTAATTTTTATTCTGTCTTTTAGTACAGGATATGGTTACAGTGTGTTAGAAATTATAACAAAAATATTAAATCTTCTATTCACTAGTCAAAATAATTCCTCATCCACATTTTAAATGTACTGGTGTTCAGATTAGTCTTGTGCTTTGAAAGAGGGTTTTTTCTTCCCACCTGAATGATTGCAGATATTATATCTCCCTCAAAAGAAAACCACAAAGAGCTTGCTTAAAGTGGGAACTCTGAGCCCTGTGATACATGGATTGATACTGTGTAGACTGACTGTAGTTTCTTTAAGTACCTGTACATCTTTTGCTAAAATGGTGCTGTGTAACGTATTATATTAGTGCAGTTGGCAAATAATAAGAGAGATCTCTGCAGCCAGTATATTTTGGAGATTTTTTCTTTTAATCCGGTGATGTAAGCACTCAAAAGCTATGTTTCAGCACAACTCTTATCCTCTTTACAGCAATAGCTTCTGGCTGTACACTTAAAACTTCTTTTTCCTCCAACTGAAATCCGTGGAATAACTCCCATTTCAGTGGGAGCTGACTGGACTCTTAAAATCCAGAAATGATGCATCTTCATGTTGTTTTCCTTGTGGGGGGCATTCAGTCAGTTCTCATTTTTTCCTCTCTCGGTATCTCAAATGCTGAAGCTGTATTTACCTTCTTCCTTTTGTGTCCCCCCCCCCCCCCATATTTCATAAAAAGATCTATGATTCAGGGATCTCCTTTTGCCTAGTAATTTATAGATTTTGCAAGTCTAATTGCTTTCTGGATCAATTTGATTGTTTCCAGTGACTCAATGTTATGGGTTTCATTTGAACTTAAAATGGTAAAAGGCAAATTTAGTGGTAAAAGTGAGTGTTATAAGCTAGCTTTTTTATTACTGTTATTTCATTATTTATTTAAACATTCGGAAGTCATTTGAAATTCTATTGCTGAAGTCCAAATCTTTCATGAACAAAAAACTTTGCAGCTATATATCACCAGTTTGTGATGTAATTTGATGTTATACAAGATTAATTATCCACCAATGTGTGCTATTATTCTTGCAATAGTCTAAATGAATGAGTCCTAAAGGTTTTGTGAATGTGTCATGTTAGAAAATTAAACATTTTTAATATTGACTGATATTAGCTGTTAGTATTTTGTGTGCATTTAGTTGAAGGGGGTTGGGGGAATCTTCTTTGTTTTTTAAAAAAGGAGAAAACCCTTTGAGATGATCCATCTCCTCAAAATAAGCGTGACAAGTTTGAATACCCTTAATATATTCATACCCACACATTAAAGTGCTGTACATTTTTCATAATTATGTTCTTCTGTAACTGCATTTGTGTGAACCCTTTGGAAGAAAATTGAACTAATTAACCACCTGGCTTCACCTCCTGTATAAGAAACAATTCTAGGCATCTTCAGGGTTGTTGGAATAGGTATTATTTTAACCCCCAAAAAACAGCATGAAGAATTTTCTTCTGATTTCCAATAAGAGCGATTCTAAAATACCATTTCAGATTTAGGACAAGCCTTAAACCTGCAAGGTGCTAAGAGCTTGTGTGAATTGCTGAGAGTCCATCTATAACTATATCCAGTAGCTTCTATGAGAGATGAATGCATTCTGTATTTTACAAGTGCTTCTCAGTACCTTGCAGGATCAAATCCAAAGTGATTGTCTACACTTAAAAATTAATTTGGATTTAAGGCACGGTGTGAATTTGAAGAGCAATAACTAACTGTGACAGTGAACTAAGCTAAAGTAGAACAAGGCACTCTTATTTTGGAATAAGTGTCCCACACACTGACAGTAACTCCATGAGTAGTCAGGTCCTAGGTCACAAAGATGACACTTAGAAATACAGTAAAATATGAAACTTTGAATCTTTGCATTAAACCAGGCTGGGCAGAATGCAGCCTGAGGGCTGGATTCAGCCTGCCTAATGCTTTGATCCGGCCCCCAGACTGCATCTGGCCGCTTCCTATTTATATCCTGCTGCCCCAGCCACCAAATTTCCAGGCAATGGCTCAGGCAGCAGAAGCCTATTTAAATTTTCCTGGCTCCCGACTGTGGCACTATCCTGGCAGGCTGGAGCTGCGAGCCTTTTAAATAGCAGCAGCAACCCCACACGGCTGCCAGGCAACATGGTAACTGCGGGGCTGGGAGCCATGAGCCCTTTGCTGGGTTTTTTAATTCAAAGCCTCCAGCCCAGACAACTCTGGGGGGAGGCTAGTTACCACCCCTGCCTCTTCCCTCCCAGGCCCCATCTTTCTGGGGGTGTGGAGCCAGCCCATGACCACATTGTGAAATTCATGAAGTGGTTCCCACTGAGAAAATTATCATCCACCCCTGCATTAAACAGAAGAAAAACTGCAGTGCAGAGATTGTTGAGTTGGTTCTTATTCACACTAAGGCCACTTTGCACCACACTCATAGTATAAAAATCCAATTTAAGGGTCCCTCTCACTGCTAGACTGGTGTGAACTGCACTAGTGCATGTTTTAAGGCTTCTTTGTGTAAAAAGCATCCTTAGTGTAAATGAAAAGCAGGTTTTGTGTGTGCACGCTTATGGGAAGAGACCGATATGGTATCTTTTTATCAGTATCTTAAATATGGACCACGTTACACTTTGCTTCATTATCAGCTGTATTATTGAGTGCATGTCACCTGACTCTAGTTGTCTTGTTTCTGCACAGCACTCACAATTTGCTGTTTCCATTAGGAAATAAAGCCGGTCCCTGACTTATGAACGGGTTACGTACCAAACACCTGGTCGTAACTCGATTTGTTTGTAAGTCGGGAATACATGCTTTTAAATACGGCTGCGCTGTTCGTAAGTGAGGATGGTGCATTCGTAAGTCGGTAATGGGGTTATTGGGAGATTGGTCGTAAGTGCGAATGGTCATAAGTTGAGGCATTTGTAACTCGGGGACCGGCTGTACAGTTAGTGATGTGGCCCTGGTTAAATATTGATGTCACTGTACACCATACCAAGTTTTTTTTTTAATTGCTTGTTTGTTTACTCCTTTCATGTCTTTTTCATTTAATTAGTGTCATTACTCCATGAATAAGGCAGCTTCTTTTCTGGGCATAGGAACGCAGAATATTTACTTCATCGCCACAGATGAAAGGTATGGAAACAAGACCACTGCCATGGGCTGATCCTTTTAAAATGCAGTAGTGCTGTAAGTAAGTAACCTATTTGAACATAACTGAAAAAGTTTTAAATCTGTGTCCCTTAGAGGTAAGATGATACCTGAGGAACTGGAGAAACAAGTCCAGCGGGCCAGGAAAGAGGTGAGAGGGGGGAAGAGACCGAGAGAGCGAGCATGCAGGCTGCGCGTTTGTGCATTTGAATGAAAGAAAAGGGAATAAGAGTGAGCAAAAGTTACAATAGGGCAGTTCATGTGAAAATGTTCTTCTGACATGTGCAACTTGCTTGCCACAAAATGTTCAGTAAGCCAGGAATTCCGGGGGATATGCTGTACAAGGCCATAAATGTTTTCCAAGGCCTTTGCTAGTGTTGATCACAAGATCAAGTAATGCTGCCCTGAAGGATTCTACTACTTCTTTTCCACTATTTCTTTCAGCCTCCAGCCTTTGTAAATTGACCTGATGAATGTATTGCTTTAAGCTGTCTCTGCTTTCTTGATTAGAATGTAACAAGCTTAACGATAGCTTTTGCTATCAGAAAAAGTTATCAGAAGAATCAGCAAATGTTAGAAAGGATCTGAAACAAAGGCCTCTTGTCATAGTGTATAGTAAATACCAAATTCCACCCTGCCTATTGCAGTGACAGGGATCAGAGACTCCATTCAGTGTGTGTTTCTCCAGGAATCTTGCCCTCCATGAAGATGAGCGGGATAGCTTTTGCAGGGGCAAGAGTTATGCATTGCATGATGTATTTTGCTGCTCTTTTGAGCATTAGCAAAGTGTGTGCCCACAATCTGCCAGTCAATGGGAGGCTGTACCGGTGGAGGCTCAGGTAAATGAAGTGGCTTCTCAGGGGCTAACCCTGGTTAACTGTGTCCAGCCTATGAGCCAGTTGCCCACTGCTGACCTAGGATGTTAATGTGCTGGAGCATACATAGTAGGGCTGACACTTAAGCCTGTTTTCCCATAATTTGCAATCAAGTCAGAAATGGACAGCAGAAAAGGTTTTCAATAAGGGTTGACTTACAGGTATATCCTTCACCAAAAATTGAGAATTGTTTTTCCACTATGTACCATATTGAGTTGACTGAATACTGATTTACTGTGGGTCTAATTGCATAGCAAAACAATTCCTCTCTGCCTCGCTCCATTCCCTCAGACAGCTGATGCAAAAGACTTACACTTCCTTCGTTGTGAATAGGTAGGAGAAAGCACAAGTGGAAATAAAACTGGGTAACTAAAAAGCAATAAATTAGCTGGGCTAATGGGGAAAAATTCCTTGCTCAGGTAAGAAAAGGATTCTCAAATGGACGGTTGATAGATTTTTTGGATGATTTTAAAGAAAAGCACGTAAAACAAGAGTGGCGGGGGGGGGGGGGGGGAGAGGGGGGGCACATTTGTT